TGGGAGGTGTTCCATTCCCCTGATCATCCTCGTGGCCTCCTCTGGACTTGCTCCAACAGCTCCATGTCCTTCTTATGTTGAGGACACCAGAATTGCACACAGTGCTTCAAGTGGGGTCTCATGAGAGCAGAGCAGAGGGGCAGGATCACCTCCATGACCTGCTGCTCACGCAAAAAAACCAGAAGGCAAACCCCGCCCGGGATCACTCACCTCAGCCACGCTGCACAGAGTGGAGCCACCCGCAGCTGCCTGCCTGCCCTGGAGCTCCGGCAGCACCAGGGGCCTCTCAGCTGCGGCTAAAGCTGGATCCAGACACCTCTGGAGGCGGGCACTGTGAAAACACTGGGAGAAACACCGCTGTGACACGCCGGTCTGCCTTCTTGCCCTCAGCCCTGGGAGCAGTGTGAGCAGGCAGACAGCATCCCGGAACACGCTGCGGCTCCACACAGCAGCCACCACAGCAGCCAGCCCTCAGAATCGGTGCTGCACAGGTAGGATCAACACGGGGAAGGAACCGGGTGTTTCTGAAGCTACTGCTGGATGGTCACCACTCCTCAGGGTTTGGTGAGCAGCCGTTTCCTGGCAGGGAAGCGAAGAAGAACAAGGAAGAAACATTGGCCAAGTGCCATGGCAAGAATCCAGGCCTGGATTCCTGAGCAGCATCCCTCTGCCCGCCATGGCACAACACTGCCTCGAGCCAGCTCCTGGGACAGAGGGTTGGCACCCTGATTCCAGGGACAGGCAGTTTCTCTGTCTCCTCTGGGTTATTCGTGTTCCTTTGGATGGTGAGGAGTTACCTTCAGCCAGGGCTCAGTGAAGAGCAGCTGATGGAGCACTGCCTGTGTTTTCATGGTGATTCACCAAGCGCCCTGAGCACAACACTCATAAGCGGAAGCCAGGCTGCTTGATAAAGAGCTGAACCAGGGAGAGTGGAGGCACAGGCAAGAGGCTGGGGTGGAGAACAGGCAGAGGAGGGGAGTGAGAGGCTCAGCAATGTGTGCATGTCTTGCTGTCCCATCTTGGGGACAATCTGAGCATTGTAACGCATGTCCCAGTGACTTCAAACCTGTTTTGCTCTGGGATGTACTCCCCATCACAGCCCCAGGGAGATGGAGGGCTCCTGTGGGTGATGCCTGAGCGTAAGCCCAGATGTGGTACTGCAATGTGCACAAGGCACTGGGGATGCACATGCTGGCAAGTGGGCAGCAGATGGGTCTGTGGAGAAAGCTGGGTGGGGTGGAAGTGAGGAGGTGATTTTCTCCCCAATGTATCTCTGGATGTCTGTTTCCAGCCCACCCAGGCAGCAGAATGACGCTATGGAATGGCTCCTTCCCCTTCTACCCTGGTGCCAATGCATGCTTCCCCTTTGACACCACCTGGGCTGTCATTGTTTCCATCTTCCTCTCCATGTTGGCCACTTTCATCATCATCCTGCCAGGGATCCGGGGCAGGGGGGTAAGTGGAAGGGCAGGGGGAGCTCAGCCCTGTGGTCCCTGCCCTTTGCATCCCACATGCTTCCTTCTTCCCAGACTCTAAAACAGACTTGGGGAGCAAACATGCTCACAGGTTCATGGCCAGGCCTCTGGGATCTCTAGCAAGCCATGGGGGTGAGCTCCAGCCCACCCCAACTCAGCATGTACCCCCCATGCTAGAGCCCCTAAAATCCACACAAAATTTGCAAGGCACCCAGATCTGTGCTTGGCTGGATTTCGCTGTGAGCAAGCCTGAGTGACTTCACAGGAGTGGAAAAATAGGGTAAGGCTTGAAGACCTTGCTCCGCTTTTCCCAAAGCCTGGGTGAAAGAAGGAGATACTCACTGTGAGTGTCCCAGCACTGCTCATGGTGCTCTGTGTGGCCAACAGACCCTTGCATGCTACACTTGCATGCTTGGCCCTGCAGCGGGGCTGGCCGAGAGGCGGCTTCCCCCCATGGAACACACTGTGAACCCACAGCAACTGCTTTTGTCTCCAGCTGTGGCCAGCTGCCAGCACATCCAAACACATGAGGTTTGGGGAAATATGGAAATCCCAGCTCAGGCCTATTAAACGGGGTGTCTCCATCCTCCTTCCCAGAAAGGGGACAGCATGACTTTCTCAAATGGGCTGGTTTTGCTCTGCCTGGATCTCCCTGCTGCCTCCCATACCCAAAGGCAGGGATCCCCCAACCGCATGTGTCCCTGACGCCACCCGCTTTCAGAGCCTGTGGGGTGACTCCACAGGGAGGCACAAGCCTCTTTCTCACTGTCTGGCACTTCTAAATGACACGCTTGGTGCCCAGGTCCCCATGGCACAATCTGACCGAGACATGTCTCCCTCCCTGTTCACCCCTTGCAGCGACTCTTCTGGTTCCTGCGGGTGGTGATGGGTCTCTTCGTGGGAGCGGTGGTCCTCAGTGAGTACCAGAGTCCTGGGGAGGGGAAGCTCAAGGAAGTCTGAGACATGGGATGAGAAGCAAAGCAAGGGGGGGTGAACAGAGCAGCCAAGCACCAAGTCCAGCCCACAGGATGAGTTTGTGGGGAAGATCGATGCCCGTATGTGTCTGGGACCTGGCTCCAGCAAGTTGTGGCTGCTGCAAATACCCATCTGTCTCATCTCTGAAGGCTTGCAGTATGCACAGACCACCTCCAGAGCAGTCACTGGAAGCCACCCACCAACTTCCAAGGGCCACAGACAAATCGGGACATGCTTAGATAAGAACCAGTTCCTAGACAGTGCCCACACATCAGCCCTATTGCCTATAGGGCTGTGGACTGCATTGGGTCTGGGAAGAAACCAGCCCAACTAGGAATATCAGGGTCACGGGTCTGGGTTGATATTGGGGAAGGACATACAAGGCAGCCTGGGGCTTATAACCTAGGCCTGGCCCTTGGAATGGGGTAGACGATGCTTAGGCTATGGTGACCATCATGGCAGGTGCTTCCAGCACTAGGTGTCTCACCATCAGACCATAACTAACTTTTGAAGTCTTCACAGCCACACAGTTCACCAGGGACTGGGAGACCGGCTGGGTGACAGCAAACACCTCCTACAAGTCTTTCAGCTGTGCCCTGGTGAATGTGGACATTGGGCTGCACATTGGCCTGGCGGGGGTGAATGTCACACTGGTGGGTGAGTGTATATCACACCAGGAGAGTATTGGGTGCAAGTCTAGCAGCCATGCACCTGGATAATGGGGCTGTGGGCCCTTAAGCTCCCACACCAGGAAGTCTTGGAGCTGCCTCCAAGGCTGAGAAAGGTCCTTAGTCTTCATCATCGGCAGGAAACCCAGTGCATCAGCTCAATGAGACCATCAACTACAACGAGCAGTTTGCGTGGAGTTTTGATGCAGACTACGATCAGAGCTATGATGAAGGCCTGGAAAAGGGGCTCCCCAGTCCCATCCTCTACGTGGCAGAGAAGTTCACCTCACAGAGCCCCTGCGGCATGCACAGGCAGTACCGCATCTCCAGCCACTACGCGTCTCTCACACTGTGGTAATTCAGAGCAAGCGGTCAGCCCTATCTCTGCTCACTGGGGAGGTGGCAAGAACCACTTAGAGCACAGGGAGCTTGATTGATAGAGCCACCCTCTTCCCTGTAAGGCCATGTCAAAGCCTTGACTGGTCTCTGGCACCCACTGTTCTGGGTGAGGATGCTCATGCTTCCTGGACTGCCTATCTCCCCAGAGTCCTTGTCTGTGTCCTCTGCCCCGATGTGTAAAATTGCAGTTGCAGAAAAATCATTCCTCATTTAAAGGAAAGCAGATGTAATTGTGTAGGGTGCAAAGTCCTCTCCCAAGGAAGATGCAAAACCCTAATAAGATGAGCTGGGGTTGAGAGGGTTTCCTCTTGCATGCCAAAGAGAGAATAAGACCTGCTGGTGGGGAGCAGGAGAGACTGTCAAAAGGGTGCTCAGAGGCTGTCTTGTGGTGTTGAGCTGAGAGCTCTCGTATGTGTTGTCATCACGGAGTCTCAGAGGTTGTCTCATGTGTCTCAGAGGTCATGGGAAAGGCACTGCAGGGAAGAGTGTGTCCTACAATTTCCCCTATAGACGTAGGCTCGAGGACCCTGTCCACATCTCCTTTTTATTTCCAAGAAAAACAACTAGCCCTGCGCAAACCTTCCTGCCACTGAGAAGGAGCATTTCAAGGCAAGGATGTTGATGTAAACTTATTTTTCATTATTATCCTTGGAATCAGAACAATTTGTTAGGATCACCTCCCCAGTGAGCTAAAGCCAAACCCCATGTACAGGGCAGGGCTGGCAACTGGGCTCACTCCAGGTGCTGAATCAGATGCGGGCATGGCTCCTTGTGTGGTTCTCCAAAGGTCTCCCTTGTTGCTGTTCTCCCTTTGAACAGGTGAGAACTGCCTGGGAGTGGCCACTTGTGGAGGACCACAAGAGGCAGAGAAGGAGAAGGAGGGAACTCCAGAGGTTTCTACTCCAGCCCCCTATCCAGAGCAGGGCTCATGTCAAAGCCATATCAAGGTGCTTAGGGCTTGCTGAACTTCAATACTGAATGTCTTCAGGCATGGAGACCCTTCTCCAGCACTGTGGGACCTGTCCTGTAGCTCCACCATTCATGTAGTTACAGAACTGTTTGGGTTGGAAGGAAGGGACCTCCTTAGATCAGTCTGTTCAGCCTACCTCCTCAAACAGGACCAGCTAGAGCAGGTTTCCCAAGGCAGTATCCTTCCATTGGGATGCAGAGAGGAGACCCTGAGAAGAGGCTCCAAGCATGACACCTTCTGCTTGGTTTTGTGGTCCTTTTGCAGGATGGCCTTTTGCACATGGCTCGTTTCCATCCTGTTGTTCTCCATGCCCATCCTGCTCTATGGTGGCTACATGCTTCTGCTCACTGCTGTGCTGATGCTCTTCTCACTGCTCTTCTTCTTCACTGCAAGGAGCACCACGAAGTGCCCCATCTGGTTTGGCACAGCTTCCTTGAAAACATACTATGGAGGATCCTTTTGGCTGACATTAGTGACAGGTGAGTGCTCAGTTTGTTCCTGGGCTTTTGTTCTCCATCCCTGCAGCAATGATGCTCAGTGATGTCCCAGCAGCACCTTATCCCTTCTGTCTTCATGGCTGGTTGCAGAAAATTATGTTTGATTTTGTTTTGATTTAGATTTTGTTTTCCAATGGAATACAAGAATACAGGAATTTAGAATAACATTGTCAAGACTGGGAGAAAAAAGGATGAGCAGCCAGGAGATCCTAATGGCCAAAGTTATCTGCATGGAGGTGTGCCCAGAGGAGTGCTGTGGAAGTCAGAACTCAGAGTCAGGGAAAGACCTGGCCTGGAAGGACCCTCGAGGGTCTCTTTCCCAGCCCTTGCCCAGAGCAGGGTTAGCCATAAAGCCGTATCAGCCTTGTTCAGTCTCATGGTGTTTGTGCACATGGCTAGAGACCCCCTCTACCTCTCAGGACCTGCCCCACATGGTCCCACTCATGGACAGCAATTATTGTCTTTTCCTAAAGTGGAATTTCCCATGTTATGACTGTGCACCCCTGAGGAGGAGAGTGACTCTTCGTCAGTAGCAGAAGGTGGCGATTAAGTCCCCCTGAAGGCTCCTCTTTTTCAGTCTAAACAAACCCAGCTCCTCCAGCCTTTCCCCATACCTAGTGGGCTCCAACCTCAACTCTCTTGGCCATTTGCCCCAGTTCATTGACTTCTTTGGTATCTGTCATGAAGGCATATTGTTTAGATCCCATCAGAGGCACTTAACACTTTATATCAGACCATTATCATCAACTTCTTACTGAGTCTTCTGCTAGAAATACTGAAATAGAAATTGATAAAGTTTGTGAAGTTTAGAAGCCCGATAGGCTACATCCAAAGAATAAATGATGGAGAAATAACAGAGATGATAGATAAAGAAATAACTCTTCTTTTCAAGGAATTGTAAAGAAAAAAATTACATTGTCTAGTGCCATATATAAAACCATAAAAAACATGGAAATGCCAGAAGGAGCAGAGCAGTACAGTCTGACAGACACTGAAATGTCTGTTATAATCTCAGCCCTTTCAGATAAAGAAGGAACTTTATGAAAGTAACTTGCAAGTTATCTGGTAGTTGTGTAAAACCAATCACTAGGACACATGAGAATCAGATCTATGCATTGATTAGTACTTAAGTAGGGCCAGACCATTCTGAGGTCCTTTTGTGGAGGAATCGTGTTTGGTAATCGTCTTTGCCTTTAGTTTCTCCACCTGTTAGTGGGGATAATTTCCTCAGAGACATGGGTTAGTGGTGGTCTTGGCAGTGCTGAGGTAATGGTTGGGCTTGAAAATCTCAGAGGTCTTTTCCAACCTAGTTGATTCTATTGTTCTATTCTATGATTCTCTTTTGTACTGGGGAGCCCAAACTGATGGCAGAGTGGAGACAGAATTAACACCTTCCCTTGACCTCCTGGGTGATGCCATGTGCTGTTGGCCTCCAACCCCAGATCTGGGTCTGGATGGGGCTGGGACACAGCAGGGAAGAAGTGCTAACGTGTCTCTCCATGCTGTGCATTTCAGGGCTACTGTGCCTGCTGCTGGGGCTGGGTGTCATCGTCTTCAACTCTGTGCAGCCAGAGAAGCTGAAGCTTGTCTTTAACCTGGACGAGGGAAAGGGAGAAGAAGAGGAAGGGTGGGACAAGCCCTACCTGCCTGCTGAGCCCAGCTCCTCTGCACAGGACATGCTGATGGTACCCCTGGGTGAGCTTTGCGAGGTGACAGCTACCCACCAGTAAGGGCAAAGACTGAGGACACCCCTTCTGAATCCATGCTCCTGTCCAACTGCACCAGGAGCATGGGTGGGAATACACGTAAGAGCCAGGTGACAAGAACATCCAAGCCTGGAACAGTGTCTCAAATATGACAACTTGCCCTCTTTTCTTTTTTTTTTGGGTTTTGTTTTGGTTTTGGTTTTGTTTGGTTTGGTTTGGTTTTTTGTTTGGTTTTTTTTTTTTTTTTTTGTTGGTTGGTTTGTTGGTTGGGTTTTGTTTGTTTTTTGGTTTTATTTTCTGTTGTTTTGCTGGGAAAGGTAGAGACCTCTTTGGGGCAGAGACAAGCCAACCCCCAGCCCTGATTGTCCAGTTACAGGCACTGTAACTGCCTTTCCCCTTAGTCCATCCCCAACAAACCTTGAGAGTCCTAAAGCAGACACTAAACCAGAGCAAACTGGGGAGAAACCAGACAGCTGCATATACATAGATATGAATGAAAGGAGTAGAGCCCCTGCAACAACATCCCTACCCTGAAGGTCCCCGAGAAGTCCCCTCTGCTCAGGGATGGTCTTTCCAGCAGTGGCCAGGAAGAGTGAGGGGAGCTGTGCTCACCAGGAAATGCTGTACCTGGTCTTAGTTGGAGACCAGTTTGGCAAGGAGGCTCATGATTTAGTAGGATACTGGAGGTACCAGACCTTGGAGGACTCCTGGATTTCAGACCCATCCTGATGCCCCATAGCTCAAGTTCGATGCAAGTCCTAGATGTGCTGGGCTGTACACTGGGCTGGAAATGGCATAGTCAGGGAGTTGGTTGGTTGGCTCCTGATTCTAACAGTGCTTATAAACACCCCAAACCACAGCCACCAGCCTGTGAGCAGCCTGTGAGTTGCTGGTGCTCTCGTAACCCTCTGAACAGAGGAAAATGCGTTTTGGTGGAAGGGAAGGAGAGGCAAATATGGGAATAGAGGTATTGCAGTGCCCCAAGAGTGTCTGTAATCAGTTAAGAAGAGGTGAGCATCACACCCAGCCTGGGAGGGAGGGAAGGAAGCATGTTTCAGGTTTGCACTCCTTTAACTCTGTGCAGGTTTTCCAACATTTTTGTTTGGTTGTATTTTGCTCGCTTATTTTCCCCTCTGTCTCAATAAAATAAGTTGAACCTGGTCTTTCTCTTTTCTGTTGATAGAGGTGTCCCTCTGAGGGGTGACTGGCTGGGTATGCTCTGTTGCTGTAACATGCCAGCCATAGGGAAGGGAAGAAGCCAAGGCAAAGGCAGAGCCCAGTTGTGGTCCCATATGGGGCATCTGACCATGGCTAGTAGGCATAGGAGAATACGGGCAAGTCAACACACAGTAAATAGGGTAACAGAGCATCCCCAGGAAAACAAGCAGGAGGTATATGGGTGGGCTTTATCTCCTGGAGTGACCCAGGGCATGTGGAAAGTTTGATGGGAGCAATCCCCAGCTAAGCAGAGAGGTTTGCAGAGGGACCATGATGGGGCAGGTCGTGCTCAGATATGGCATCCTGCCCCATCCCACTCTGAATGGAAGAGCCTTCAATGAGGACCTAGAGGACCCAGCAGGCATTTAAGAATAGGTTGGAACTGAACAACTTGGATGTTCCCAGTGGCATCTATGAGGTGATGCTTCAGGCTACAGATGGACTAGATCAAGGTGCAACAAAACCAAAATTTCACAGAAACATAGAATGGTTTGGGTTGGAAAGGACCTTAAGATCACTTAGTTCCAAACCCCTGCCATGGGCAGGGACACCTCACACTAGACCATGTCACCCAAGGCTCTGTCCAACCTGGCTTTAAACACTGCCTGAATTGCCTTGAACACTTTATTGAACTGAAATTCACCCCTCATAAACTTCTCCCTTCCCCTACCATATTCCCCTGGCATCCAAGCCTGGGGCAGGGGAGTTGGCAGCTCTGCATGCCCTGGTGCAATGAGTGCCCCCAGGAACAGGGACCACCATCCTTGCAGAGCCCCAGGCTATGCTGTCCGAATTTGCTCCACTGCTGGCACTGACTCTCTGGTTGGACGCCAGATTCCCTGGACACTGTGAGGCCAGAAGCAGCCTGGGCCAAGAGCCAAGGATTTAATGGCAATTATTTTACATCTTGTTGTCCAAGAAAAGCTCAGTCCAGCAAGAAAACTAAGCCTGGAGCTGAGGTGGATGGAGGAGGTAGGACCTGCAGCAGCACAACTCAGGGGCCTTGCAGCCACAGCTCTTATGGTGCATGTGAAGAAGCTACGATGACAACATGTAGTGAGGAACATAATCATCCCTGAGCAATGGCCCTAGTGTGTGCTTCTTCCTGTGGTGTCAAGGAAAGAAGTCTTCAACTTGCAGGTTGCCAGCCCCATGACACAGACAGCCCCCATTGTCCTGGCAGTGTTCAAGGCTAGGGTGGACAGGGCTTGGAGCAACCTTTTCTAGTGGAAGGGGTCCTTACCTGTGGCAGGGGATTGGAACTGGATGCGGGAACTGGATGAGCTTTAAGGTCCCTTCAGCCCAAACCAGTCTGGGATTCTGTGGCTCCCTGCTCTACCCAAAACACAGTGTGTGAAGGGGTCATTGCACGCCCCCTCCATGTCATTGTCTCTGCTCAACTGTCCCCATGCAAGCCCTGCTGCAGAAATCCCAGCCATCCTGTGTTTGCTAGGAAGTGGCTAAAAGACACACAGAAATCTGGTGTCTCTGTGCTTCAAACAGATTGGATTTTGTTTGTTCTGTGATTTGGGTTCAGAGCCCTGTATGTCTGATGCAACAAGACAAAGCTTTTCTTCTGGTGAGGATGCTATTGAGGGGAATCATGCCTAAAAGCAGGAGGTGAGGTTAGAGAGTTCCAGATGCGGTGGCAGAAAGGATGGGAACACTCCCCCGCCCAGCATCCTGTGCTCTCAGGGGAGAGGATCTGTCCCACACCAGCCCCCATAACTTGTGGTTGGTTGTAGCATCTTCCCACGATGCCTTTGGACATGGCTTGCATTTGCATGCAAGAAAGACTCGAGAAAGGATCCTCCTTTTCCTGAGGGTGTTTTGTGGATTTAATCTTATGGCTTCTGTCCTGCCACTCAGCTGGTTAAAGTCCTTTTGAAACTCTCCTACATCCTACAGTGCACTGCTCCCCAAAACAAGGGTTTCACCTTAACAGATGCCAACGAGCCTCATCCTTCCTTGGGGATACCTCTTGCCAGGGCAGTTTCCCCCATGGGAAGGATGTGTCTGCAGAAGGCTTGCGATGAGCCAAGCCTCACAACCCCACTTGAGAAATCAGCCCCCCAGAATGCCTGAAGTGTTTCAAAGGAGTGGGTTTTTAATGAAGTTTTATTGAAAATAATAACTCATGCCCGTAAGAAATCACATTAGTACAACACAAATGGCACATGAAAGAAATAAGTAACTTCATTTCTTTATTTCTCAGAAAGAAAAGAGCCAAAATACTGCAATTATGTCCTTTACAATTAATTGGACTGGAGTGGCCCAGGTCCCCAGCATTCAGATATGAAGATCTTCTTGTGCCAGCCATGGAGACTTCTCAGGCTGGTGGGTTTGGACCCCATCTTCTGTTTGTAATAAAGCAACTTGATGCACATCCTGACTCTGACTCCTGGCCTTGTCTTACGTTTTGTGGTAAGCCCAGCTAGCCCAAGTGTGCTCCGGTTGGATAGGGGTAATGTCATTCTTCCCTCTCCTTCCTTTCCTGTGGCATCTTTTTGGCCCACACTAGGCTACAAGTGCTACGTAACAAAACCCAATTTAGAAGTGAAAATAATCTCATCACCACATTCCCCACTGGCAAACTCCATGGCATATTAGCTCAGTCTTTACTTCTGGAGTGGTATTTTAGTCTAGCTCATGCAGCATCCAGCCCTATGGCTTTTGCATCTGTGCCTGGCCTTCCTAGGTAGGCCTAAAGGTCTACACTAAATGTCAGTGCTTGGGAAAGAAATGAGAGGATTTAATCACCAGCTTTTTGAGTTGTGGGTGCTCCCCATAAACACCAGTGAGCTCAGTTCCTGGGGTGGAAACTGGCCATCAGAGAGTCACTGCACAAAGCTGTGCCAGGGATGGAGCAGGAAGGGCATTTCTGTTGGAACAGAGATCCCCAGGTGAGTGTGCAGCTCGAGCCACTGGAGCTGGGAGCTGCTCTGATGGCAGCCTGCTGGCTTCCTGCAAAGCCTGCCCTTTCCCAGAGGTCATGGTCAGGGAGTCAAAGTCTGCACAGGTACTTCTCAGCAAGTACCCATCCCAGCATGGATCTGTGCACTCTTCAAAGGCAGATGGATGGAAAAATGGGTCTCTGGGGACATAAAGAAGTGTTTGTGCTCTGCCCTTTCAGGCCCACTTCAGGGAATGAGTGAAAAACTTTCTTCTAGATGATGTTGGGGTTGAGTTTGGAGGGCTGAGAAGGAAAGAGTCTTCTGTTCACAAAATGAGGGTTGACATGTGCTTCAGCCATTTCCTGGCACTCTTCTGCTTTGTCCTCACGGAGATCAAAGAGAGTTTTCAGGAGGTCCAAGTTGCAGTAGTGCAGCGTGACAACACTGATCCCAGCCACAAAACAGAGCAAGCCTGGAAGACACGCTCTCTAAGAACTTTCCTGTCAACCCCAGCACACTTGCCCCCTGTGGCTTTTCCTTTGATGGCCCCCGGACAGGTGACAATGCCTTATCTTACGGAAGATGGCCTTCTACTGCATGAGGTAGCTTCAGCTGCTCTGCTGAGCATCTTAAAACCCAGGTATGGGTCTTAAAATCCAAGGAAGTGATGCTCATCTCTTTTTTACTGCACCTCATGGACTAAAATTCCCTCCACCACCCTTGAGATAGGGATGGTGCTCCCCCACCTGCCAGCCCTGTCCACATCTCTGCCAGGATCTGTTTTGCCAAGGCGCAGGCTGGGTCTCTGGTGGGCTGCAATCCCAAACTTTCTCACCTCCATTACTGGGGTGAAAGCACTGGGACACTGGCACACCCAGAGAGACAAGGTGCTGTGCCCTGATGTAGCTTGGT